ACAGACATTTTAGTGAAGTCCAGGATCAAAATACAGACAAACTGCTTCTGTTGCCCAAAATACGATTGGCTATAGCCAACTGTTAGCTGACTTGCAGACTATAAACGTGGTTAGCCAGGCTTTTACTTCTTTCGCTTAGTAGGTCTTTAAGAGTCTTATTTTGCCACTCTTGCACAAATTGAACTGTAGCTTACTCCTCAAGGCATGCCTTTGATTCTAGTTGCTCTATCTAGACTCTACTCAGGATGACTAAAACATCCAGTCTGGTTTTATGTGTTATATTTCATGTTTTAAGGATAACTGCAGACTTGATTATGGTTGCCAAGACTTTGTAGCAAGTAAATTCAGTAACCAAAAGACAGAAGATAAACCACAGATACAACCACAACAATTTCTTAATTAACAGCAGCCAGCCTCAAGCTGTGTTTTTAAACTGAAAGGTGTCCTCTTTCCTCTCATTTTCACCATTGTATCTGCTTTAATTCTTCATGCTCTGGTTAAAATATGGTGTGTGGACACAAACACACAGATCAGTCTCATCACTAGTGCTTGTAATTTAATCACAGTGCAGAGTGTGATTCTACAGACCTTGTGTTGTGAATCCATGTACCTGGACTATAATACAGTAAGACTGACTTCATTATTTCGGCTTCATCTATCAGGGGTTATGGTATGTACTGTATTGTTTCTCAGAGATTTCCAATATTATAAAACTTTGAGGGCTGATTCCAAAGGAGTCTAATGTTACAAAACTCGGAGGTCTACTTGCTGTGTAATAGCTATATCACCTCCTCTAAATAGGAATCAAAATAGCCAGCAATTTAAGTGGGAACAGTTTATTGTAGTCAATTGGAGATACAGAATAAAAGAATACATCTTCACTCATTTGGGTAATAGAGTAATTTACATTGAAACTTCCATCTGAAGGTCAGTTATCCTAATCTGCTTCCCAAAGAAGGATAACTTGTTCTAGAAGATTGTCCAGGGCTATATACAGTTGAACTTTGAATATGTCCAAGAACAGAGATTCTGCAACCTGTTCCAGTAGTTTATTGCCTTGACTGTGAAGACTTTTCTCCTTGTATCTATACAGAATTTCCCATGCTGCAACTTGTGTTCGTTGCATCTCATTTTTTCCACTTCATACATCTCTGAGAAAAATTTGGCTCCATATTCTTTATAAAACCTCCTCCACTGCAAGTTGAAGATAACTTAGATTCACCTTAGTCTCCCCTTCTTCAGGCTGAATAAAAGTTCTCTCTACTTCTCTTTGTATTTCTCAGGCCCCTTTATTATCTTGGTGACCTTCTTCTGGTCTTACTTTAGTAAATATAACAGAGATAAAAACTGGACATAGTACTCCAAATACAGTTTCATAAGTGCCACATATACCACTTCCCCCAAATGTTACACACTTTTTCTACTATAGTCCAGAATGCTGTTGGTCTACTGGGACCAACGACTCTGATGCCTGTACTGCATGCTATCCATGATGTCTTGTGGTTTGGTTTGGCCAGGTTTCCGTCAACTTTGTAGTCTACTCATTCAGTTTATTATCTCTACAAATTGTCTTTAGAGGAAATACAGAAGACTGACTGTCTATAAAGCCTTACTAAAATTGTCCATCTTGCATATATAGAAAGCAGAGCTCAGTCAGGGGTTCCCCATTCAGCTGAGTATTTGCTCTCTCTTGCCATGCCTTCCTGTTTTCTTGCAAAATGGCATGAACTACTCCTGTGTTTTCAGGAGGTTGTTCTTGAAAGCCAGCCAGCTTTTCTAGGCCCCTTGCTCTTCAGGACAGCAGGACAGCTTTACCTTTCCTGAAGTTAAAATCAGTTCTCATAGAGTCTAGGGTCATTATTCTGCTACTTCTCTCCTCATTTTCATTAGCTAATGCAACCATACACCTTCACATCAATTCTTTTATCAATTCTTTTTTTTTTTTTTTCTTTCTGTGAGCAATGGGTCCCCCTAGCTGTTTAGTCCAACATCAACACCATAAAAGTTTCCTTGACATTGCAAACATCTCTTAGATTGCTTGTGCCTCTTAATGTTGCCTTTCCAACAAATATTGTGGTGGATATATCTCCCTGTGGAAACCAGGGCCTGCCATCATGAGGCTTCCCATTTTCTATAGAAGCCTTTATAGAATTCCTGTCATGCACTGGTAGATCTGTAGCAGGCACCAACCCAGTGACCTATTTGTTGGCCTTCCTCCTTTTAATGATATGTAAGTGACTAAACATCAGGGAAGTGTTCATGTTGGATTGGTACTCATAGACTGAAATAATCTCCTAGATTAAGATGCTTGTAAGTGTGTCTCCAAACAGTGCTAACCTATTTTAGTGGGTTTATGCCTGGAACTGATTCATTGCACACCACATGTGGATGTTCACATCCCTGCATATAGATATACCCTTGCTCATATGCCCTTGAGTTACAGAAGTCTCTAAAGTTCTGTGCAGAAACAAGTTCAGCTTTTTTCTCTCCCCACAAACACTTCAACAGCTACAGTGTTTTAAAGATCACAGGTTCCTGTATTTGCAGGCAGTATTAGTGTAGGTATATAATCCAAGAATTTAAGCAAGGCAATATTAGTAGGTAATGATAATATCCCTTAGATAAACTGATATAGCTAGAAAGATTAGGCACACAAATCACTCTTCTGATGTAAACAGAAGCAGCAGACTTCAAAGCTAAATATGAGTTGAGCAGAGGATTTAACTAAATATGTATCAGTGACACAACCTGTTGAGAGACAGATAGTGCTAAAAAGTAACTGCCAACCTCTTTTTTTCCTCTTCTCCACATAACAATCCACTTATCTTCCAGAATAAGATTCTGGGGAAAGTAAAATACATAGTTTTCTTATTAAAAGTTCATGAACTTTAATTGTCTAATTGTTTCATGTTACAGATCTGAGGAGGAAGAGGAGAAAACCATATAATGAACACAGTAGATAATAGTGCAAGTCAAAGATATTCCAGAAATAGTACAGAAGTCAGAAATTCTCTTTCAAAGGCCAGAAAATAAAAAAGAGAACAGCATTCTTAGACTTTCTTGGTAAACTAACCACACCTAGAGAACAGACTACAAACACTACTGACTTCCCCATTGTTTATAGCAACTCTGGGATCATTTGTGCAGGGCTTTCTTAACTAAAAATGAGATTATGTGAGGTAACCTTTTTACAACGGGTGCTATATCTATTCCATTGGATGGTTAAAATTGTCTTGTGTTGACTGGGAGCATTTTGAAGATAACTCTAAACAGCTTAGTAACTTTACTGTTCTACTTAACTAAAGAGAAAAGTTAAGACATGTGGACTGTTGATAAAGCATCAGCATCTCTGCCATTACCTAGTGACAACCATTTGGAAGTCTTTTGAAAGAGAAAAACAGGTAAAGAGATGGTGAGTAGTACACTTGTCATTAATTTGTCAAGTCAACATATTAATGTGATTTGGGTCAAGCTAGTGGTTGTGCAGCCAAGCATTCATGGCTTCACTAAACACTGAGAGTTGTACAAGAAGTTGGGGAAGCCTGAAAGAAAGTTTAGTTTGGCAAAGAAATGAAGAACCAAATAAAAGAGAACTCCAGGGGGAGACCTTCTCCATCAGCTTATATGACAGCAAGAGTGAGCAGGGGAATTAGGCTATGGCAAGTCAGGAAATCGGTGAGGGGCAATAGTTAGCCCCAGTAGGAGAGCTTTGAGGCAGGAAACAGGAAAGACTGGGAGTCTGTTGACCGGTTTTCAGAGTTCTTCTTTTATGAGCTCATAGGCCAATATCCTCATAGGTCTGCTAGCAGCAAAAGACAGAAGTGTTTGTTTCTCAGGTCAGGGGCTCTAGTTTCTTTCATGTTTGGTTCAACATTTTTTATCGGTCTTAATAAAAGTTTCATTCATATGAGATGAAGAGAGCTAGCTCTCTCTGAGTTTCCCATGTAATCAGAAAGATATAACTCCATGTTTATATTAAGGACAGAGAGGCACAGCACTACATGTCATGTCTAACTTGCTGCTCAGTCCATTACTTTTCCAGTAAAATTGACAGAATTAAACCTAAACAAGAAAAGGAATGACAACAAAAGACAGTGGGCATTCTGCAGCACTGGCATCAGTGAATTCAGTAATGACCAACAGAGTTCTTCTCTACAGGCATTTCACGGGTACAATGTGTAAAATTTCTTCTCTTCATGATTAAATAATAGGGATTAGCTGGTGATGGAATAGTTGTGTTCCATCTGGCTTGTGCCTGGGAGTTTCTATCAACCCTATTCGTTTAAGTTATCATAAAGATTGTACTAGGCACTGAGATCTCACATCCCACCCTCAGACTTGTCCCCTGCCATAACAGTGAAAAAAAGAGAAGTCTTTTGCTTGCTGAAAACAGAATCCTGGTACTATATACTGACAAGTGTCATGATTTTAATATTATCACCATTGTTTGAGTCATTTACTCTGAGCAGGATTATGTACTGTACTTCCCCTTTCCTGCTAGCCATCAGGTCCACTAAGGCCATTAAAGAACTAGTTTATATAGAAGGTTCCTAAATCATGATCTGCTTGCATAGACATAGGTAGAGCTTTCAGACACAACTGAATACAGTAATATATATTGCAAGTGGACTCTACAACACTCCATTTAATGCTGTGTGAAATACATATGCAGTAAACATCTACTCTACATCTTTTCAACTATGGCCAAACTACAAACAAGAAATGTATGTCTGAGAAAGTGTGTCTGAAAATGTACAATATGCCTGCAGAATTTGTGCTAATCACACTGAAGTAGAATATTCCTATCATGGTTTCAACTCTAAACTGAAAAGATTTTTTCCCCTTTTCTTTAAAAGGAACAGTCGAAGTTTAGATAATGGTGCAGCAGACTTCATTAATGGATAATTTTGAACATATTTCTGTTTGTCTGATGTAGAAAATACAGATCACAAGCATCTTTTTTTCCCTTCACTAAAAAGTGCTTTTTTTTTCTGTCATAGATCCTCACCAACATAAACTGTTAGAAGTGTCTTCCAAAGAGTAGGAAAACAGATGAAGTAATAGGTCTTCTGCTCTGGTGTAGCAGTAAGTATCTGTCATTTTGTTGTGGCTGAAAAGGCACATGTATCTTGAAGCTGGGGGGTATCTTTATCATAAATATGCCTGCAGGCAATTAGTTGAGGGAAAATGCTGATCTTTTTCAGAACAGCAATGAAACAAACTTCAAAAGGCATCCCCAGGCATGTCCCTTTTAATTAGACCTTGGCTCTCAGGATTTCTACAAGACTGGAAAGTTTTGCCTGCATCCTTAGGATTTGTGGAGCTGGCTGTAAACATAGGAGAGAATGCCATATCCCTGATGCTATTTCTTTTATCTATTTTTATTGCAGCTGGTGAAAAAAAAAAAGTCATTATAATCTGTTTTTCCATAAGAGGCAAAATGTCAATCCATACAGAAGGTATTTCATTTAGGTGAGGAACTGGAGGTTACAACTTGTTTGGATGCTATGTTTGGATGTTCTGTGCCTAGAAAAACAACACAATACCTTGTCAGCCATACCAGTATGTTCTAGTGTTATTAAACCAGCTGATGCACAAAGAATGAAATCTAGTCCTTTTGTAGCTGATCCCACTTAATATTTTGTGGCAAGTCTCAGACCTGTAAGAAACATTTGCATAAGAAGCAAGATTCCTATATTGCTTTGAAATCAATCTGAGCTGCAATGAAAAATTATTTTAGCCTGAGCTAGAATTGGTTTTATATTAGACATGGTCAAAATCCAACAGTCTGAGTCAGCAAGAAAACTGCTTCTGAGCTCTGCAGCATACTAGAACAATGAATGCAGATTAGTCTCCAAAGAAATATAATAATAAGGCCATTCCTCTTATGAACCCTCATAACTTCTGGCAGACATTCTGCTCCCACTGACGTTTAGTATAATTATCCCAATAACTTTGGAGAAGCTTGTATTTTGCTATTGATTCTCAGATATTCTGCCTGCCCTCTGTCTCCCTGGAGTGAACAGAGAACACCTGTGCAATTAATGCTTATTAGAATAGAAGCATTTGAGAAAAAATTCATATCTGAAATGCAAGAGCTTTTTGTTCTTTTCTAGTCAGAAATGGTGGTGACAGCATTTGCTGGTATTTTTTTAATGCTGACTGGAGCAAAGTAGACATGCCTGTATGCTGGATAATTTTTCAGTGCCTTGGTAATATAGCTGCTGTCTTGTACTCTTTTAAACTCTTCCTTGTTCTGTTGCTGTTACAACTATTATATTAGAGAATCTAGGAGAAGAAAAAAAAAATGGATTCTGCTTATCAGGATATGGTACCTGGCTATACTGACTTCATTTTGAATGAAATTGGGTGCTCAATACTTGTCAAAATACCCTATCAATAGTAGAAAGAATAGATCTGATAGTTGATCTGTTGCAGATGGCAGCTTTCCTTGGAGCCACTGGAAAAAAAATAAAAAAAAATAAAAAAGTTTTCCTCAATGTGTAAGAGAAGAATGAATTGAATAAGAGGAAGAGAGAGGGAGGGAGAGATGGGGAGGGAGCTAGATGACTCTCTTCCTACAGAAGGAAAATTCAACCATCAGTACCACTTCAAAATCACTAGGTTAGTGTTAGAGTGGAGAGCTAAGCAACATTTTTACTATAATCATATGACTCCCAGTCGCTGTAGTCAAAATCTGTGGAGTCATTAATCCTTCTCCATTTTGTTTTAATAATAATGTTATTGTATATGTCTTTCCATTGCTTAAAATTTTCAGTCAACAGTGCTAGTGATAGATGTCCTTTATGAAGCAGCAAAATGAGATTCAAGAAACAGCAAAGAAACCGCACCTCAGGAAGCTGAGCTTGCTGTTAAATGGAGATGTGTATAAACACGCACACATGCACATGGACGTACACACACACTCACTCACAGAGAAGGCCTAGATTGAGGCTAATTCTCCCCTAAGCCTGCTGAGGAATAGATGTCCTACCATGTTATTGTCATGCATGATCTCTGATTAATGCCAGTGCTGGTATTCCAGGCTTTAAAATCAGTACGAAAATAGTCCTTGAGGAAGGATGTCAGCTTCTTTTAATCTCCCTTTAATTTCCACTACTTCAAGAAGCTCTACATCTTCACACCTTATTCTTCTGCTATGGAGCTCTGCTTGCTAACTTCAGCTCATAAAATGAGCTCTTTTTCTAGAAAAGTGTACCACAGACACTGTGAACACATTTTTACAAATGGGATCAGTACCAAGTGGTATAAAGTCACAGTGTTGATAACTCTGATCTTCTGAAAATATGACCCAATCCAAGGTAAATATTTCTGAAATTATTTCCCTTCTTACTGTATAGAAAATTTATTATGACAACAACTGTGTTAAAAAATAAAAAGCTAGGCTAAGACTTACAATCTTTTTATTTTTTTTTAATCTCAAAACTGAAGCATATATCAGCTCATTATCTGAAAAGTTCTAGTGATACAGAGCATTGTGTAATGTTCAGCCAAATCCAGAAGCCCTTCTCCCCTGTGATTCTTAGTGAATACAGCCCTCAGAAGCATTGAACACCTTCACATACCCTGGAAAAAGTGATTCAATTTTGTCCAGGAATTATGTAGCTTGAGAAAGTATTGCATCATGCAAGCATCAGCAACTTGATGTTTATATGAACTCTGTTGTTCTGAAACAAAACCCACAGATATGGATTTTTGACATTTTATTGTTAGAAGAATAAAGCAAAGGAGATAATCATGGCTAAAGATGTTGTGACAGTTTACTGATCAGTAGGTAGACAGAGGAAGTGCAATTTCTGGGATACTGTCTCTACTGAGAGTTTGTGGTTTTACCCAGCTGAGTGTCTGGCCTAGACTTGGCTACATGTTAAAAAAAAAAAAAAAAAAAAAAAAGCAGATTAATTTTTTTGGCCTGGGGTATCTAAGCAAATGTTCAGCAAAAACATGAAAGTCTTCACGATCTGAACTGGAAAGCAAGAGGACATTGTGTAATAAATAGGAGTCGAGAAGGTGACTGGGGAATAGCATTTTCCATTACACTAATCCAAAGCAGAAAACTCGACCACGAGTTTCTTTTTCTTCACCATGTATTTTCCTTCTCTGTTTCTCAGAAAGACACTCACTGTATTCAGATGTAGATTCATTTTTCATTTCTCATGCAAATATTAGTGAACTGAATCATGAGGCTAAGTTCATCATGTGCAGGCCTTTCAAAAGAACATGCAAGTTTGTGGTGGTTCAGGGACTTTGCTTGTGCAGCCTTCTGCAGAGATGATAAGTTAGCTCCAATACAAAAAACTCTTTCATTAGGCTCTTACTGACAGTGACAATGAAATCAATTTTTCAGAAAGAACACCATTAATGAGTAAACTATTATTGTTCCCAAGAGGGCTATGTTAAATAAGACGGATACTAATTTTAGATACTTAAAAAGAGAAGTCATTAAGGAATAATAATTTTAGTTTAATCATTTTCAGTTTGCTTTCTTCTACTGGTGATTCAGAGGATGCGCTGCATAGAAACCTGTTTCCAAAGAAGAGGAAGATCTCACATTGATCTTAGTCTTTGGAAACTGCCCCTTTTTTCTGTTTCTGTGCCTTCACAGTAATTACCTTAGCCATCCCTGAGTATTTGGTGTATAGCCCTGGAAGTAGATTAGATTTAGGGATCTATGTAAAAAAGAAGATTTTAACTACCAACTCTCACAAGCCTCAGAAATGGACTTCTACCATGGCTGAAAACTTCCAAAAAATGTTCTACTCAAAAAAATAACTGGGCTTCCAGGTCACAAAGACAAATACTGCTTTTTTGGAAGTGCAGTTCTGCTTAGTCCAAGCCAAAACATACTCTTTTGATACAGCAGTATTCTCCTTGAATGGAGGAGCCTTTCTAATTCACTCATTTAACTCCTGGTTCCTAACTGGAATTTCTTTGATTTCTTTGTGTTGCACTATCCTAATTGGTTTCTATAAATTCCAAAATACCAAGCCAGAATCACATTATTTATTCTTTTTAGTGACTTTTGAAAAATCATCTATCGTTGAATGAATACTGAGAGAACAGTTTTGTGGTGTTGCTTTTTTTTTTGTTGCTCATTTGTTTTGTTTTTAAAAAAGCAATTTTACAAGAGCACCGAAAAGCAAATTTCATCACAATACAACATATTGCTACTATATTTGAGATTCCTTTCCCCAGGCAGAATAAGCTAGCCCAAGAATCAGAGCTTGTCTGACCACACAGCTGCTGTGCTTTGAGGACAGGTGCTAGCAGTGCACTGTGGAGGGTGTTGTGTTTGAGGTATCATCTGGATACCTCAAATACAACATCATTCTATGTAATGCAGACATGCTCTATTCCCTGCTCTATTTTTAGTAATCTAGATGCTTAGGTTCTTCACTGTGAGAGTTAATAGCTGAAGCTTCTTTGGCAGTGAATCTTACTGCATTGAATCATCTACAGGATTACAAGACAGTGATTGTGAAGGTTCATCTTCTTGGAAGGAGCAGGAAATGTTTAGTCCTGTAATTATTTTGAGGGTCTGGTTTTGTCCCCTCTGCAGGAGTAAACCTGGTGATTTACAGAATGAAGTACGTTGGGAGCTTGACCCAGCTGTACCTGTCTCCCAAGCTGTTATTCTATTCTTTAAGTACATGCACAGCTCTCTGCTGAAGGTTGTTCTGTGCAGGTGTGAAGCTAGAGCCATCAGTACCTCTCAGTCAACATATTAAAATTCATCCTTTCTCACATATTTCTGCCATCAAAGTGGGTCTTATGAGTGGGAGACAATTAAGATCTTGCATTGCTAATCCTTCATTGACATGAGCTTCTGGTCTTTTGTCTTAGTTTCTCATCTGCTGAAACAGTAGGTGGCATACAGGTGAGCAATAAAATGCTCCCCAGGTGACATTCATGAGACAAGGCTACTCTTTCTTTTTTCTTCCACAAGTAAGTTTTTTTTTTTTTTTTTTCCCCTGTCCTTCTTTGTCTTCATATGGATACCCCTGCATTTTCTTTCAGCTTAAAAAATTTACAGCATATTGTTTCTGCGGAGTAAGTGACTAAAC